CGGCCTGGCGGGTCGATCCGGGACTCGGCGGCTGGTCCAGTCCGGATTTAATAAAAGACTGGTCGGGACAACAACCCGACAAAACCTGGGCGAACCTTTTTTTTTTCTGTTTTCCTTTCAAATGTGAGATTTAAAATCCATCAGTGTATATATTCCATGCTCTCAAAAAAAAAAATTATGTTTTTTTAATGTGAGATAAAAAAAATTAATTGTAGTACTTCAACTTAAAATGATAATATAATATCTTTTCAATATGAAATTTGAAATATTTTCGTGTGTGTGTCTATATATATATATATATGTTATAAAAAAAATAGTTATATTTTTTAATATGGGATAAACATTTTTTTATTTAAATACTTCAACTTAAAATAATAACATAATATCTTTTTAACGTGAAATTTAAAACTTTTTTATATATATACTCTCTATTTTTAAAAAACATATATATATAACTTTTTTTCAAACAATTACATACAAATCACATATACAAACACGTCACTTGCTATAAATTGGAGAGAACATATCGCATTACAAATTTCATTCATGAGAGATTTTAGTTTCCCAAAAGTACCCATTGTTGCCAATCCCTTTCAAATGATCCTTTATTTAAAATATCTACTATCCCGTTGATAGAAACATTTCATTTAAAAAGACAAGGATGCATAAAATCTCATTTATAATAATAAAAACAATAATAAATTAATAATAACTGAGTTGACGTTGATTCTCCAAATTAAGACTAAAGAGAAGGTGTTTCATGGAGAGGAGGAGAAATGCGTTTTATATTAAAAACTAATAATACTTGTGTAGAGTCTGTAGACTACATTTGACCCACTAAAAAAACAATTAGAACAATAAAAAACAAATAAAAAATTGTATTTAATTACTTACAAATACAAGCTGACTATACCACAAAATAAAATATATTTGGCAATATAAAAATCATGTCTTTAAAACCATTTTAAAAAATTAATCTTAATTGATTCATAAATTGGTCCAAGATATAAATTAAAAAAATAATTTCATAAAACATGCTAAATATTTTTAAAATATATGGAAACCCAATAGTGAGTTTTTCAAGTTTTATAAGTAACCGTTTAGCATTATAAATACGATTTTATAAAAAATAATTGTTTTTATATTATTTTAATATATTAATTTTAAAAGTTAAAAAATATTAATTTTATATATTTTCAAATAAATATTACTTTAAAGAAGAAACACTTTTTCTATCTCAACAACTCTCTTATCTATCTTAATCCTTTTTTATTTATATTCATGGCTGAAAATATTATATTTATACCAATCTCTCTCTCTCTCTCTATATATATATATATATATATATACTAGTTATATGACCCACACGATGCAGCGAGTCAATTTTTTGCATAAAAATATTAAAATATGCTATGATCTAAATATGTTAGATTTTTTTGCGAAATTATACCTTAGAGTCTCAGGTTTGGCTGCAACGCCTGACCTAAGAGTGATATTTATAATATTAATAATAACATTAAACTTGCATGACCCAAGTTTAAATGGGTCTTGCTGCAATACCATACCCAATAGTCTTGGATGTAAGTCTGGCTGCAAGGTCGTGTCATAAAAGTATGATAATTAAATAGATTAATTGAAAAAAAAACAAAAAAAAAACAACATGAAGAAAAAAAAATGAATTAACCAGGTTAACTTGTCAAACCTGAGATCCGTGTCATAAAAGTTTGATAAATAAATAGAAAAAAAATTTAATATCAATAAACTAAATAAAAAAATTAATTTAAAAAAAAAGACACTAGCCTTTTCACCGTGGAATGCACTGTGTAGTCTACCGTGAAAGACATAAAAAGAAAACAAAAAAACAAAAAATAATAAAAATAAAGACATCAACCTTTTTTTTGTCGACTGTATACAATATAAAAAGATGAAATCAGAAGAACAAAAATAATGAGGAAAAAGAAAAACAACTTGAATCAACTGGGTTAACCCACCAAATCAGGTTAACCCGTCACACCTGAGATTCGTGTCATGAAACTATGATAGTTAAATAGAAAAAGATTTAAATAAAAACAGGAAAAAAAATTAAAAACAAAAAAAAACAGGTCAGCGTTTTACTGTGCAATGTACAGTGAAATACCGAGCTCTTTTAGTATATGTTATAATAATAATAATAATAATTACCTGTTTCGGAGGACGATAATTTTTGTTTTTATATATTTTTTAAATATACATCTATCATGAAAAAATATAAAATTAATATAAAAATATATTCTGTGTATCTCTGTCTCGTGTGCGTGTGCACATATGCACATGTAATTCTTGCTTTTCTCTAGTTTCTTTCATTTGCAAGTTATTGTTGCTAGAGTAGGTGTAACTAGTTGCTCTGCAAGTCAGGTTTGGTAAGATTGATTATAAAGAAAAAGATATTAATAATACATAATTTTGATTTTAGTGTTTATATTAGAGTAAGTGTGGCTTGTTTTATGATGGATAATTATGTTGACAATATTGTGCATAATGAATGATGATGCCAATTTATTTCTGGTCTTCGTAAGCTATACTATTGCTGGATTTGTGCTCTTTATTTATATGGCAAATTCTTATTCAAATTATTGATATTAATCTCTAATGAAACTTCAATCTTATCTCGGGTTGTCAACCAAGTCAAAATTCCTCCTACAAGTATATAATATTGTTTTATTATAATATTATTTGTTGTTTTTTCTTTAAACTTTTTGAAGACATTGATCTGTAATTTAGATTTTAACTTATTGATATCTAACTATATGTTATTTAAATTTATTTGAAACAGGAGAAAAAAATTAGAAAGATAAAAAATATATTGAACATAAAATTAACAATAATAACTTAATATAAATGAATATGTAGTGGCAAAAAAATTAAATATATTTTAGAATTTTTTAAGAAAATCAGATATTATTAACATTATTTATAAGCCCATCAGAAAGCCAGTAAAAGCCTATTACGAAACCCATTATAAAGTCAGAAAAATAACCATAAGTTTTTTTGGTTTTGAAATAAAAAATTGATCCAAACCGAATCGAAACCGGTCAGTTTAAACTGATTCTAATTCGGTTTGAGTTTTTTTTTTCCTTCCAATTTAGTTGTTTTTTAAATATAAAAACAAAATCGAACTGATCATCCCTAATTTAGAATATGCTATAATAAATATATATTAAAAATTTAGGTTTACTGAACCTAACATTATTTATTCTCTTCAGTCTTCTCTGCCATCCCGTTCTGTCCTCTCCGACGGCTTTCTCTTGTCGTTGCCATCCTGCTCTTTCCCTTTCGGCAGCTTGCTCTTGCCACCACCATTCAGGTAAACATCTGCGTTGTCTGTCAATTATACCAATCTCTCTCTCTCTCTCTCTCTCTATATATATATATATATATATATTAAAAATTTAGGTTTTCTAAACCTAACACTCTTTATTCTCTTCTCTGCCATCCCGCTCTGTCCTCTCCGGCGGCTTTCTCTTGTCGTTGCCATCCTGCTCTTTCCCCTTCGACAACTTGCTCTTGCCACCACCATTCAGGTAAACATCTGTGTTGTCTGTTAATTAACCCTACAGTGCATATTCTGGTGCCATAGATCTCTTCACCGTGCCTAGCTAACCCAAGACCAAATATTTTAGGATTTTAGATCCCCATTATTGTCCACGTAAAACCTACCGAAATGTAGTTTGAACTCAAAATTCCATATGCATATGTCTGCATGCATTCAAATCCCAGAAATACAACAACTATGCTGAAATTTTGAAAAATCCCAATTTAGCTTTTTTTACATCTCTTGGCAAAGCTAATGTTTTTCTTGATAAAAATGATGAACTAATTGGGAAAAAGACTCTGCAAGGAATGGTTAAAACTGGTTGGGTCTACATAATACAGTATGTTGAAGAGAAAACTGAATAAAAGGATAAAAAATCTAAAAATAAAAAAATATATTTTTAATATATTTTCAAATAAAAAAATAATTTTTATCACAATTTTAAACACTCACTTAAAACAGGGTTAATCCTTTAAATATTCGTGCTACTAAAGATATAAAGACAGTTTAGTACAGTGATTAAACCCTAATAAAATGATAAAATTTATAAATTTGAGATATCAAACTTCTGCATTTCTTATCACTTGCCATGTATTTATTTTTAAAAATCCATGTTTAAAATTGGATTTGTTTAAATAAACAGTATGAATGAATTTTTAAAGAATTAATTTCAAACCTATACATTTATTTTTATTAAATTTTAAATTTATAAATTTTGCTGAAATACAAAATTATCTAACTCTTGATAGAGCACTAATCAAATAACTAATTACTTCTAAAATAATATAAAATTTATTGATAATTGAGGAATGGAGAAAATATTCAGAGCTTAATTAATAAAATTTACAAGTTTGAGATATCATCGAAAATAAATACATCACTTGTAGATTAACATTTTTGGAGTTGTGATACAACTTGTTTTTAATTAAAATTTATTTTTAATTTTTTTTAATATTTTAAAATCATTTTTATGTGTTGATATAAAAAATAAAATTAAAAAATATTACTTTAATATATTTTTAAGTTAAAAATACATTAATAAACAATTTCTAACTTACTCTTAAATACCTTCTAAATTGAGATTTTCTCTTCCGAATTTATAAGCCTAATGGACACTGAAATCAATCAACCTTCCTAGCCAAAGGTACAGTCGTAATTAGCCCTACATCCAATAAACCCTGCTGCACCTAATAATATCCTGCAATTAGGTTTTACTAAAATATATTAACTATCCTTTGAGTCACTGGCAGCAAAACGAAAGTTGAAGAACTAATTAAAGAGTCCCTGCCCTAATTTCCTGAGAAGAGCAGCCCGCCCATCGTTTCCTTCTCTTTTATCTTTTGTTATCTTTTGCAGAACAATAACAACCAACAGAGAGTTATAATCATAGGTGCTCTATCTTCCTTACACTACTTACTTTTTATGTTTTTTTCTTTGTTGAGATTTATTATTGCATGCAATTGCTGCATATTTTGAATGATTCCCTCTTTTTTCCATGCTTTTTGAGCTCGTCTTCGGATTGGAACAAATAATTGAAAAAAATATTCATTTGACAACCATCCTTTAGATCACCACTAATTTGTTTTGGGTCCATAGTTGATTGCCGGTAGGCACGATGCAACACTGGAGGAGCTATTATTTTACAACTTACAAGTAAATCAAACTCAGTTCATTTAAACATAAAGAAAAAACAAGGAAGATGATTGAAATCTCTGTTAATATTGTAGTGATTATGGAGTTACTATTGGTAATGGTTTCTGGGTTTTTACCTTTTTCTTTGGTTTTTCGTTATAGCATCAATGTATTTTGTCTGAACCCTGTTGTGGAAGAGGTAGCTGTTTGCATATATATTGAGGATTCACTTCTAGAGTAGGAACCATATCAAAGATGTACTGCTAAAAGCTTCGGGAAGTTCATATTATTCTGTTTCGATTTGGGAACTGAATAATGTCAACTAGAATCGAATTTCTTTCTATAATTGCACTTTGATGTTAGAAACCGTAACTTTTGAATCTAACCATTGAAACATCACAGTTATGTGGTCTTTTTTGTTTTCCCTAGCATAAAGAAGATAAATTCCTATCAAAAGTTGTTGTTACTCTGCATTTTAAGGTTCTGACTTTACCATTTCTTGGATCTTTTTTGTAGAGAACTTGTTCATGCATTTATTTATTTTAATCAGACAATCTTTGAATCTGTTTTCAGTCTTTTTTTACCTTTGCAAACATTATTATTATCAATTCATGCTTTACGTCCTTTCCACAAAATCTTGAGATGATTTTGTGTTTGTTCATAAGTATTTTGTTTCTGATAATTAAGTTGTGAATTTAAAAAGTCATTTTGAAGATAAATGCAACTTTTAATCTATTGATGTTAATTAATCATGCTAGTATATATGTTAATGTGATATTTTATGCTAAAATAACCATATTAACGTGTGTCTTGGTTCTAGATCCAGGTTGATCCGATTTGACCCGGGTTGACCCACCAAACCCATGACTCGGTAATTTTACCTGGTCAATGGCCGGGTCGGGTTTTATAACTATGGGTTTTAGGGTATAAATATAATATAAAAAGCAATGCTTGAAACAGAGCATCCAGCACAAAACCCACAAGCAAATTTCTTTCACTCATTAACATATAATCAACAAGGTACTTATTAATGAATCAACTTCCATTCTCATATGATTTTTCCCTGAATTCAAAATTTGTTCTTTTATATTATTTATTCTGTTGTGTGTTGATAAGAAAAGGAAAAAAAATTTGAGCTTTGAAGAGGAATAATGATAGCAGCAGTTTCGTGGGTACCCAAAGGGGTTGCAAAGTCTGTACCAAGTGTAGCAGACCCACCTTCAAAAGAGGAAATTGAAGAGCTGATCAAAGCTAGTGATTTAGAGAGAAGGTAAGCTACTATTTTCTCCCTTTTTCTTTCAAAAAAGTTTACTTCTTTTTGTGTTTCAATGGCTGTTAGTTGTTGAACGTACGGTTTTTTTGCTATACGGTTTGTTGGCTGATTCACTTTTTGTGTATTTTCAATGCTGTTAATAATTGAATGGGAGGACTAGGCTTAATGGAGCATTGTAATGTTGATTATTTGAGTGCTAAAATAGCTGAGTTTTAAATCAGGAGGTGTTGATTTTATAGTAAAGTGTGATTGGGTTTGAGTTTTTGAGACCCATTTGATGAAAAAACAAAATTTAAATCTCTGTTACGAAGGGTGAATGGATATATGGGTTATGTGAACTTGGTGGAGTTTTGGTATCGTATTGGGTTGTATCAGTCTTCAAGTTATGCAAATTGATATTTGGTTGTACATGTTTTTGTGTGATGAAACTATCAATCTCTGGTTTTGGATTTTGTGATTATTGCTTTTATTTTATGAACCCGAGTTTAACATGACTGTTGTGTCAACCATCGCATTCTAGTTATACTGTCAAATTTCTGGGTTGTTGAATAGTGTGATTGTTTTTCATGTTCTTGGTTTGTCCAGTAGAGAAGATAGTGGCAGCGAGGAAGATGACCAGGAAATGGATGTTGATGCTGCCAAGCAGACCGGTGAAGTAAGCCAAGCATTAGCTGTAGCAAGTGCACTTGGCAGAAGTTCCAAAGTTAACAAGTCAGAGACCAAATTTGATGACATAGCAGATGGTCTGCAGGAACTTGATATGGACAACTATGATGATGAGGAGGATGGTACATATGCATCTACAAAGAATCCATTTTTCTTTTTCCTTTTCTTTTATGTACTTTTTTTTATCTGATACATTTTGTAGAAAATAAGGGGTCATTGGTCGCCATGCTGGTTTAGTTTGGGAGGTTAGGATGGATTGTTTAAATACCGATCTCTCTTGATAAGAGCATTCTTGAATATTTGAATCATTGAGGGAATTATTAAACCAGTGAGTAACAATCACTTGTATAAATACTTTTTCAGCTCTTTTTTTCCCTTTTGATTCACATCATTTTCTGGTCACATGCCTTGAATTTAATTGACATTGGATGAGTAACTAAAGATGCATCTGGTCACACAGGTATTGAGCTGTTCAGCACAGGACTTGGGGACCTTTACTACCCAAGTAATAGCATGGACCCGTACATCAAGGATGAAGATGTAAGTTTGACAGCTTTGTTATGCTGTAGCTGGCTTCTCTTGGTATTTGGTTACTTATTTTTGCACTGACTCTTTTAGGATGATGATTCTGAAGATCTTGAAGACATGGCTATCAAACCAAAGGATGCAGTCATTGTTTGTGCATGCAACAAGGATGAATTTAGTAACCTTGAGGCATGCAATTGTTAGTTGGGAAGCTTTGCAATTCTCTCTCTCTCTCCTGACAAGAAGCGCCAATTGTGCATGCAGGTTTGGATATTGGATGAAACAAGTGATGGTGATTCAAACATATACGTTCACCATGAGGTTCCCCTTTCAGCATTTCCCCTTTGCACAGCATGGCTTGATTGTCCACTTAAAGGGGGAGAAAAAGGTATGATAGCTTATACGCTCTGCTCGGAACTTGTTTTTCTTGCAGATTCCAGCTTCTCCAGTATATTCCCATTTTCTAGGCTCACCTCCATTTTTTGAGACATCTGGTTTTAATGTAGTATTGAAATTAAAAAGTGGTGCATGAGGGTTGGTTTTCTCGCAGAAGTTTATGCCTTACTACCTCTTTTGAGATTTGTGTTTTTGCAGGGAATTTTATAGCTGTTGGGTCAATGGAACCTGCCATTGAAATATGGGACCTTGACATTGTATGTGGAACATCACATAAAATTACAAATACATTGACTTTTTTATGTAGAGATTGTTTTAGAATCTCTTACATTTTCTGCTGTTCTCAGATTGATGAAGTGCAACCAGCTGTGGTATTAGGTGGCATTGAAGAGAAAAAAAAGAAAAAAGGGGAAAAGGTGTATTCTAGAGTTCCTTTAAAGTTCTCTGCACCTTTTATTCAAAACCCAGGCATAATGTGATATGGCTTGAGACTGTGTATTTTTTTTTCTTGTTTTTTCTCACCAGTCCTGCAACTTCTTTTGTTAGGTGCCAATTAAATACAAAGAAGGCAGTCACACTGATTCTGTCCTTGGTCTTGCTTGGAACAAGCATTTCAGGTATGGGGAATCTCATACGATCTAGTTCTGTTCTATCTGCTAACATTGATGGATTGCTCCGATAGCTAATAAGTATTGAAATAAATACAGGAACATCCTTGCCAGTGCTAGTGCCGACAAACAAGTCAAAATTTGGGATGTGGATGCTGGAAAATGTGACATTACCATGGAGCATCATACAGACAAGGCAAGAATATAGCCTCACATTATTCTTTTATATAAGTTGGACAGTGAACCAAGCCAGATTCATTTGTTACTTGGGTATGCATTCATTGGGATATTACAATTGTTCATGCATCGGTGCTGACCTATTAGCCTATCAGTGTCCTCAACCCAGGGACGACCAGGCACATTGTATGCACATGAATGTTGCAAGACATGTTGAACCATTCAAAGATCAACTTGCTAGTGATTGAATAACTTGTCAATATTCCTTTGTCATAAAACTAAACATTTGTTAAGGAAATTCTAATAATGAAAAAGAAAACAAATGAAAGTTGAGTTCCTTCATTTTATCCAACTGTCATACAATGTGCCAGTTGCCTGTCTTCATAAAACAATTTAGTCTTCTAAGATTTGTTGGAATTATAAGAGCAGGGTTTTGAAATATTTTCAGCTCTAAGTCATAGCAGTTGTCTGTGCTAGCTAATGTAATGAACACCCTTTACTATGCTGTGTCTTATGGTTCTATTTAAATTTACTGGATGCAAAAATTATGGTTACTTGTGTTATTAGCTTATTGATATGGGTTACATTCTTCTTTTCATACAAATGCTGACAGGTTCAAGCAGTTGCATGGAATCATCATGAGCCACAAGTTCTTCTCAGTGGATCCTTTGATCGTTCAGTAGTCATGGTAATACAGTGCTTGTTTAGTCTGATGTCTATAGATTTGGATTGTCACTATACCTCACAGTGCAAGGCTTTTCTTTCTCAGATCACTGCCATGTGAAAGTTTTCTTTAATTAGTCATGGTAATTAAGAGCTTTCTTAGTCTTGATGTCATTACCCTTATGCTTTGCAGAAGGATGGAAGGTTGCCTTCAGATCCTGGTTTCAAGTGGTCGGTCACAGCTGACGTTGAAAGCTTGGCCTGGGATCCGCATGATAAGCATTTATTTGTGGTGTGTGCTTCATCCTTCTATTTATGGTTTTCCTATACCTGTTTTTGAGTTCCTTCTATTTCTTCTTGACAAAGAAACAGAGGGGAACATTGTTTCTATGTTCTAAATACATGATAGGTGTTTATAGTGTTTGATTTGCGAGGCACTGAAATATGCTCTAAAATGCTGAGATATCCTTGTAGGTGAGTCTTGAAGATGGTACAGTTCAAGGTTTTGACATCCGTGCTGCCAAGTGTGGATCAGCTTCTGACCTTAAGCCTAGTTTTACCCTCCATGCACATGACAAAGCTGTTTGCACAATCTCTTATAATCCTTTAGCACCTAATGTACTATCTTCATTTTCATATTTTAATCCTTAGGTCTAGTTAGATGTTTAGATTATCAACTTCACTAAACTTTCCTTACCATGTTTGACAGCTTCTTGCTACTGGATCAACAGATAAAATGGTAAAGTCTCTACTCTTTTCTTTTTTTTTAGTCCTCCAAAGCAGAAGTTATCGATGGTTCATATAATTCCATTTTCTGCTGAATATTTCTACAGGTAAAACTCTGGGATCTGTCCAACAACCAACCCTCGTGTTTAGTATCCAAGAATCCTAAAGCAGTATGTGACCATAACTTTCCTCAGATTCTAAAGTTTAAACATGTTTTTAGATGTTAGCATGAGTAATCACACTGTTCTGAATGTTTTCAGGGAGCTATCTTTTCTGTTTCCTTCTCAGAGGACAACCCTTTTCTGCTCGCTATTGGAGGCTCCAAGGGGACATTGGAAGTGAGTTTAAAAACCCTATCTTATATTTATTGGAGCGCATATCTATGAGGAAGTTTGTATAATTTATCCTAATTTATGTCACTGAAATCTCGCAGCTATGGGATACATTGTCTGAGGCCGAGGTTGCTAGAAGATTTGGAACCACAGCAAGCTGAAATCACCGCTGGCTTCATTGATCAAGAAGATAAAAGACCTATGCTCCTGCTAGAAGATTTGGAACCACAGCAAGCTGAAATCACCGCTGGCTTCATTGATCAAGAAGATAAAAGACCTATGCTCCTTGTAAAATTTGCGAGCTACAGCAAAAGCCACATGGCCTTGTTATGAGCATGAGTCTGGGCAGAAATTCTTTTATCTTGTCGGATAGATATCATCACATAATTATCTATGACTGTTTATGCTTTTAGCATAATATAATTTTTAATTTTTAATTATTCATCTTAAATTCTTTTATGAATGGTTTGGAATAAAAAAGAAATAGATGTTGTCGGACTCTATTATGAATTTAGTGGGTATCAACTTTTAATATTATCATTCTTATAAGAGAAAATAAATAGAAAAATACTTTAGTTGTGCAAAACATAAAATTTAATATAACAAAATTAATAAACTATATTTATGGCCAAATCATAATTGAATTTTTTTTAGTTGAAGAGTAATTAAAGTCATCACACTAATAGTTATTGATCATAATAAACTTGCAAAAAATATCTCTTGTTTGATGATTAAGCTAATTTTTAAATTCTACGTGGTCAGAATAAATATTTATGGTGATTTTTCTAGATTTTGGCGAGACAAGTTTAATGAAATTTAATATAATGAAAGGATACGAGACTTTTTTAAAATTTCAAGAGATTAATTCAGATATAAATCATGTCAAGTCATTAATTTTGTTAGTTTAAGGAGGAAAATAGACAGAAAGAAGGATTGCAAACTTTGAAGAAAGCCGTATAAACTGAAGTTTGGAAGAGATATTCGGAGCTAATTTATTTTTGTATTTTAATTTTTTTTAAAATCTTTGTATTTTTTTCTTTGTTTTAACTTAATTTTTTTAGTATTTTCAAATCGTTTTGATATGATAATGTTAAAAATAATATTTTAAAAATAAAAAATATTATTATAATATATTTCTTAATAAAAAACATTTTCAAATATAGTTTGAATAACCTCACAAGTTTAAATTTATGCACTTTTTTTAAACTTTTTGGATTAAGTAAGAGAAAATAGTTGAAAAATGTTTTTACGTGCAAGATGTTTGCCCAAGAACATTGAGAAAAAAAAGATAGTGAATTAGGGTTTGAACTAAAAGTACCAATATTATGTTTTTAAATAATAAAAAAAAGTCCAAATAGTCATTCTATAGCTCGTAAAAAATTTTTACTCTTATAAATAAATTTGATATTTTGAATTTATTTTGAACACGTACGACCAAATAATTTCTTATAAGAAGAGTCTATATAGATGTCTTGACAAAATTCAATTATCATAGAAGATAAAAGAGATTTTCACAACTAATGTATTGTGGTGAACAATATTTTTAATTAAAATTAATGAATATTTTGAATAATTTAAAGAATTTTATGACAAATTCTAAGTATTTGAATATCAGTCTATACTTATATGTCCAACATTTATATCATAATATTGACCATTAATTCTCATGAATTAAAATTTTTAAGGAGGTTATATAAATACTGGCTAAATTCTTATAAATTTAATAAATTGATTAATAAATTTAAAAATTCATGCAAAGATATGTGTGTGTGAGAGAGAGATGTTTTATTATTGTTTATTTTGGTGAGATTCACCAAATAAAATACATTTTTATAGTTTTTAAATGAGAATATTCTAGTTATTTATTTATCTATTGAAATTTTGGTGGAAAGCATGCATTTCAATACTAGGTCTATGTATTAAAATGTAAATATGCAGTCCTGATATTAAATGAAAATGATGGAAAAATATGTTAGAGACCCGTAAATAATTTTAGATTGATTTTTTTTTAGGATTTGTTTGTCAAGACTCATTTTTATTCAAAAACAAAGAAGTCAAAATAAATCCAAACGTGTGTCTGCTAAATACTCAATCATTAACTCCAAAATTTAGTGCGGTTTTTATTTTGGTCTTTAATTTTTAATTTGTGCATTTAGACATTTAATTGACCATCAAACTTCTAATTCTTTTTAATTTGTCTTTTGATTTGATCAATTTCAGCCATAAGTTTCGTATCTTTAATGATTTGGTTATTGATTTTGAATTTCTTCAATCAAATCCCTAATTGGCTATTAAAATTAAAAAATTTTATAATTATGCCCCTGATTTGACCAATTAAATTTTTCAAAGTCCAAGTCCAATCCCTCAAAATTCAATTTATTCCAATTAAACTCAAATTAAATCTAAAAATCTGATTTTTCTTTCAATCAAGTCCTTAATAAAATTGATTAAACCTTCCTAAATTCTGAATTGAGTCCCTACTCATTCAAATTATATTTTTTTTTTATCAAAAATAAAAATATTTTCACCAAGACTTTTCATCAATCATAATTGAATTGTCATTTTGTCAATTTTATATATTATGGTCCTTCAACTTATTATTTTATTCCTTTATACCCAACTTGAAAAATTTTATTCTCTTTCTTCGTATGTATTTATCCTCTTGTATTTTTAAATTTTTCTGTGGGGTCACAAAAACATAACAATTCGAAAAATTGTTCTGCCTTTGCATTATTCCCTCGTAGAAAGAATGCCAATCAATGTTTTTACCTTGAGTGAATATCACCCTTTAAATAAAAATGTCAAGGTTATCTCGGAGGCCATAGGCGTATTGTGCACATCTTCTCGGGCAGTAGCTTTCACAAAACTCTGGGCCCTCTTTTTGTCAACCTCTCATGACAATTTAATGCTAAGCTGAGGAAGTTAGATGGCAATAATTAATCCGAACCAATTCGGACGACATGATTGATTTGAAGTTAACATCATGCACCGCATTAAGAATGTCCATGCATTAAAAACGCAAACTAGAGCTTGATTTACCGGTGAAAGGGGCTTGTCTCTTTCCACTGTACTTGAATTCAAACCCTAGCATGCATGCCTGTCACTCCTGTGGTGCCTTACATACCTACTGGGTTTACAGGATATTCAGTGAGTCGTAGGACTGGGTTTACAGGATATTCAGTGAGTTGTAGGGATTAGTCATGATATGCGTAAGCTGACCCGAATACCCCACATAAATAAAAAAAAATATTCATGCAATAAGTCTGCAATTACCTCCTCCTTCTTTTGTCAAATATTTGGTTTGAATTAATTAAAACCACGAGCTCCAATCCCGAAAACTGATTGGAGCGTCGGCGAGCCACCTGTGGATTGCGATGTCCTCGAGATAGTTGTAGTATTCTTTGATTCTTGCAGGACACCAGTTGCTTGGCACATTTGTATACTTAGAGACATGCTTTAAATCATCTCTTGAGATTTAAAACAATAATTACCACTTAACATTAGGTTATTATAAATATTAATTTTTATTTTAAATAGTTTTTTCAGTTCCATGCACGTGATCTAAAAATTTTCTTAAGAAATGTGACAATAATATAAATTAACAATACATATGATATGAATAATATTTAGTAATTTAAGTTGTTGAATAAAATTTTAAAATATAATTTATATTATTTTTTAGTATACTCACTGACATTAAGTATATATATAAAAAAAAATAAGAAAAATAATATAAGACAATAACAATAAAATAACCTATAAAAAATTAACTAGAATTTCAACTTAATTATTTGATGTAATGTATGTATTTTAAAAATCTCTAAAATTTATATTTCTTATTGGTTTGTTTTCAAACCATTCTAGAGTTTTAACACTTAAAATAAAATACCAATATATAATTTTGAAGTGATTTAAGTAACTTATTTTTTGTTTTCTTGAGATTTCATGATGGCCTTAAATAATAAGAAAATAATTAAAAAAACAAATTAACCTATATTTTAGCATTCGTATTAGAAAATACCCCCTTTTTTAAAAAGAATTTATATTTTTTAAAAGATTTTAACTAAAATGGTCTTTTTCTTAAATAGAGATGGGTTTTAAATTCTTTTTAATTAGTACTGGTAATATATTATAATAATATTGCCATATCAAGGTATAATAATCAATAAAAAAATCTACGGAATTCGGGATTTTATATATAGTTGCAAATTACTTGAATAATAATAATAAAAATAACTACTTGAAATAGCTATATTATCCATGGATTCTTATTAAAAAAAAAATTGTTTTGGTTTTTCAGACCAGTAGCTTTTTAGGTTATTATCCGAATTGATTTAAAGAGGAAAAAACATGAGAGAGAAAGTTTTTATAAATAAATTATTCGAGTAAGAGTTAGTCGACGAGATTCTAACCATTAATAATAATAAAAAAGAAACATTATAGTAATATCTTATGAAAAGGTCAGGGTGCCGTTTTTCTTGACAACCTTTTCTTCTGATATCTATCTTTTAGATTCTCATTTTGCTTGGTTAATTTTTTTTAAAATTATTTTTATTTTTATAAAGATTAAAAATATTATTCATGTTATATTTGAGCACCAGAATCAAATGGGAACTGTCTTTGAGATTTGAAACAATTATATTCATATGTACATAAATAAAATGCATATATATATATATATATAGAGAGAGAGAGAGAGAGAGTTACAATCAAGAATTCCCGATGCCGAAGGGCAACATTTCCTTTTCATAATATGCATCAAATCTCTATCATTCAACGAGAGCCACATCTGCACCTTCCTCGATCTCCACCATTCCTCCAATTCCATTATCTCCACCATCTTCCAAAACTCCTTGCCATTGCTCCATCGGTACACATTCCACTTTATGCCTCAGCTTCCAATCAAGTGCTTGACATCCTCTTGAACAATAATTTACAGTGCCA